TTTTTTTTTTTTTTTCGGTCAAAAACAAACAAACAAACAAATTAACAAACAAACGAACAAACATATTATTTTTTTTTTTTAAAAAAAACCTAAATACTGCCTTGATTTTGAAAGTAAAAAAAAAAAAAAAAAAAAAAAAATTGAATTGAAAAAATTCTTGTACTTTTTGTTCTCTTGCATACTGACTATTATTATTATTAATTAAACTTATTATTTTTTTTCGAAATACTGATTGGTTGAATAATAATAAATGACGTCATTTTGCTGCAACGGTAGAAATCATTCGAAAGCGATAGTTTGCATCATTGAAAAAAAATTGCACTTATACAAAATTATTATATATATATATATATATATATATATATATAAATTTATATATAAATTTTACTTTGATATACTACATACATATATATAAACCATGTGTGTTTGTGTATGTGTGTGTGTGTGTGTGTGTGCAGTAAAAAATTTAAAAAAAAAATACACGACTACTAATAATAGTATCAATCAATCAATCAACAAAACTATATCGGTAAGCGGAAGATAGTAATAATAATAATAAGAATAAATTAATGAATTTTTCTTTTCTTGTTGCTTGCTTAAATATATGTAAGTATGCACATATTATAAGGACACTCTCAACATTTGTAAATATTTATATATATAAATAACCTATACAAAAAAAATTATGTTAAAATAATAATAATAATAATAATAATAATAAATTTTAAAATTAAATTAAATACTTGTATGCTTTATAAAAAAAAAAAAAAAAAATTTAAATATTATCATTATTACTTCAAATTATTCTTTCAGTGCACTTTTTTTTATTTATTTAATTATTCATAAATATTTATATATATTGTTTAAATATTTTTAATAAAAACTAATTTTTTTTATTAATGAGTACCACCACACATCCGTAAATAATAATAATAATAAAACTTATTTCATACTTTTGTTTAAAAAATAGATTATGTATGAATTATTATTTATTTATTTATTTATTTATTTTTATTTTTTTTTTTTTTTTGTAATTTCGACTAGAGTTATATGAAAATTTACATAATTCATTACATTCCCAAATTGTATTCAATTTTTTCTTCTGCTCTTACTTGATCTTTCGTTATTTTTTTCCAACATAAATTTCTTATGTTTAGCTTTTTTTTTAAGAATAAAATTAAGTTTTTTTTTTCTTTCGTAAACTATTATTATTATTATTATTATTATTATTATTATTATTATTATTACTTAAGTAAAGTATTAAGAAAAATAAACAAAAATATACAATTAAACAAAGAAGTACTCAATGCTCTAACCCTTATTTTAAAAAAAATAATAATAATAATTTTTTAACGTACTAGCAGCATAAAAAACAAAAAAAAAAAAAAAAGTTAAGAAAATATAGAATTTTTATTTACATTATTATTTTTTTGATTAGTATAGTTTTATTATATTATTTGGCAGTTTTATTATTTTTAAATTTAACTTTTCTAATACTATTTAGTCACCTTAATACACATACATAAATGAAATTCAATAAAAAAAAATCCGTTATGTAAAATAACTAATCGGTTAAGATCTTTTCAAGATGAAAATTTTTCCATGATTTTTTTTTTAAATGTCTGCAACAACTTTCAACTTTCACACAATGAATGAAAAATAAATAATAAATTAAAGAATGAATAATGATTTGATTAGAAAAAAAAAAAAAAAAAAAAAAAGCTTAACATCCGAAGAAAGAGAGAAAGAGAAAAAAAATTTTTTTTAAAATTTCATATCACAGACCAGCCAGACCTTTTTGAAGTTATATTCAAATAAAAAGAAAAGTTTTTTTTTAAAAAAAAAAAAATAATAATAATAATAAAAAGGAATAGAATAGAATTTGTAAGAAAGGGAAAACCAAATATTACAACACTCATCACTGCCAAAAATAAAACAAAAATTTTTGTACGTTAACAAATAAGAAAAGTAAGAAAAGTAAACAAGAAGAAAATTTTCCCGGGTTATTTCCGTTTCCGTTTCGAATTTCAAAATTCGAACGTATTATTTAAAGCTCTCAAATAAAAAAAAAAAAACACGATAGTACGAAATTTCATTGCAAAAAAATAAAAAAATAAAAGTGGGTGAATCGCGGGTATTTGTTATATATAAATATATATAATTATCATCATCATCATTGATCTCGGAGTCGAAATATACCGACCGCGCACACAACCACACACACGCACACACGCACGCACGCATGCACACGCACACTCGCACTATTTTTTTTTTAATGATTCGTTATTTCCTTGTGTATTTTTTTTATATGTACAAGCAAGTGATCGCTTCTTTTGGCTTTGTGCGGACAATACGGACACTGAATTCGACTTCCTATACCGCATTCGGCTCTTAAATGCCTCGTTAAAGTAGCTTTAGAACTATAAACCCGATCGCAATTCGGACATATGTGACAACCCATAAGTCGCTTGTTCAGCTTTGGATTCGACGGAGGCCAAGGTAACTCGGTCAGTTGATTTCCCTCTGACGTTTTGTTTCCAAACATTATTTGACCTCTTGCTCCGACGATTAAATATTCTCCTAAAAATTTCAACAGTTAACTTAAGTTCATAATTAATTAATTAATTAATCAATCAATCAATCAATCAATTAATCAAGGTTTGATTTTTCCTTTTCCTTTCTCACATATTTCAAAAAAAAATTAAACCGTTTGTGTTTGAATCGGGAGTGGGCGTGGTCAGGGGGCAAGCGGTGGGCGGGGCGAGGGGCGGAGAAAACAAAATTTTGTTTTTATTTATATATTATTACTATTATTATTAGTTATAAAACCCAAACCTTTTAAATATTCACTTTAAAATCAATCAATACTTTTCGTCTCGGTTTAATCATAATAATAATAATAATAATAATAATAATAATAATAATAATAATAATAATAATTATAAAAAAAAAATATTTAAATTCTTTTTTTTTTTTTCCCTTAAATTTATAAACACAACATATGTGAGAAAAACCAACGGATCTTTAATGTGCCATGATTTATTATCATCATCATTTCTCTTTACATAAATACAATTTTTTTTAGAAAAAAAAAAATCATGCACCTCAGGATCCATTGAATTATTATAAGCTTTTTTTTTTTTTTTTATTTTTTTTTTTATATATTATTTATTTGCAGAAAAAAGTCTGTGCAATCCAAAGCATCACCACATCACTTATTATTATTCCTTTAAATATTAGCAACTGGGTTAGTAAATTTAGTTACTTTATTCTCACTACGAAAAAAACAGAATTTTATTAATTTTTGAAAAAAAAAAAAAAAAAAAAAAAAAATTATAAAGCTTCGTGAACCTACATTTTTTTTTTATATATATATTTTTAAGTTGGAAAAGAATTTATTTAAAAAAAAATATATATATATATATATGTGGGGGGAGAGGGTAAGGGAGCCGACGGGAAGGGAGGGGGAAAGGGGAAGGGGGTAAAGTACACATATTTTTAAATATTTAAAATTTTTTTTTTTTTTAAATTTCCCTTTATTTAAATTCGATAAGAATTCCACGATAAAAGCAATCTAATAATAATAATAATAATAATTTTCATTTGAAGCAATTGTAATTAATTATTATAAACCCCGAACATGTCCGTTCTTACGGAGAGACAGAAAGAGAGAGAGAGAGAGAGAGAGAGAGAGAGATAAAGAAAAAGAGAGAGAAAGAATAAAAAAAAATTTCTTTTTCTTGGGGGGCGGTTTTTTTTGTTTGATGTAATAGAAAATATTACAACATTTACCTTATTTTCCCTGTTGACAATCCAATGCAAACTTTAAACAAAAAAAAAAAAATAATAATAATAATAATTAAGTATTTATAAATAAATTTTAAATAATTTTTTTATTAAAATTTTTTTGTCTTTGTCCAATTTAAACAAAATGCCATAAACCTCTTGTTATCATAATATATATATATATATATATATATATATATATATATATATATATATATATATATATATATATATATATATATATATATATATATATAATTAAAAATCATTTATTAACAATATAACGAAAGAAGCACATAAATAAATAAATAAATAAATAAATAAATTTTTTTTTTCCAGGCTACAATATAAAGTCATGCTTTAATTTTTTTTATCCCGATAAGGTAATAATAAATAAATAAATAAATAAAATTCATTAACAAAAGGTAATGTCACCTTCAATTTTATTTAAATAAATAAATTTTTTTTTATTTTTTCATTTTTATAACATTATAGGATGCTCCAAAAGAAAAGTTTCATTTGATTTAGCCGAAGGGAGCGGGGAGAAGGGGGAAGAAATGTATAAAAACATTTTTTATGCATGGCAAAGCGACATTATCTAATTGAGAAAGAAAACAAGAAAAATTTTTGTTAATTTAAAAGAAACGTAAAAAATTAAAAAAATTGCCAGAACAATCTTATAAAAACTTCAAAGGAAGCAGCGGTAAACCGCACAAAAAAAAAAAAACAATAGCGTTTGTAAATAAGAAAAATAATATTAGAAAGAAAGAGAGAAAGAGTGAAAGAGAGAGAGAGAGAGAGAGAAAATTAAAGTAATTCAATATCCGTATATAAATTGTTTTCCTTTTTGTGACAATAAATTAAATGGCAAAATGGCAAAAAAATTAATTTTTCACATCTCACATTAAAATATTTCAAAAGCGAAACAAAAGAACTGAAAAGAATTATTTAAAAAATAATAATAATAATAAAATTAATAAATTAATAAATATAAAAATTTACGACCACGTGTGTGAAGCGCACGCAAACAATTAATAATTAAAATATCTATGTATGTATCTATGTATGTATTTATGTATTTTATGCATTTTTAGGCATACACATAGCGTGAAAAAAAAAATACACACATATATATAAATAAAAGCCTGTAAATACAATTTTAATAAAAACTTTTAGTTACATTGAAATAATAATAATGATAATAAAAGCACTGTAAATTATTTTTTTAATTATGTAAATAAATAAATAAAGAAAATAAAGTGATAGAAAAAAAAACATGGAAAAGACAACGATTTGTTAATATATATATATATTTATAAAAAGCAGAGAGAGAGAGAGAAAGAGAGAAAAAGAGAGAGAGAGAGAGAGAGAGAGAGTGAGAGAAAGCTTTGATAAGACCACAAATGCAAATAAATAAATAATTAAAATAATAAAATAAAATCCATGTTTGTTAATTATTAACATTTAAAAAAAAAAATAGTTTTCTCCCTTCCCCCTCTTCCCCTTCCTGCTCCTAACATCAAATAAAACATTTTCTAGATATTGTGCATCCTGATAATGAAATAAAAGAAAATAATAATCATAATAATAATAATCATAATAATCATAATAAATAATAATAATAATTATACCGAAAACAAAATAAATCAATTATCAAAGGAAAATTTTTAAAAAATTTTTTAAAATAAAATAAATAAAGTCGAAATTAATAATAATAATAATAAATTTTTAATTAGTTTATGTACAATTGATTGAAAAATATTATTACAAAAAAAAAAAAAAAAAAAAAAAAAAGGCATTTTATTCTTATATACTATTATTAATATTAATAATACAATTAATCTTTTTTTTTTTATATCGTATATTAAACATAGTTAAGTATAAAGCCAAAGCTCTGACTTTTTTTCTTTTTATATATTCACGAACCTTAATTTCTAAAAACAAATTGTGAGTTTTCTTTCTTTTTTTTTTTTTTTTTTTTTTTGTTTTGAGTATTATTGAGTAATAAAAAAAAACAATAATAATAATAATATTTAAAATATATAAAAAAAAAAACTAATTCGCATAATTAATCGTTGTCACATATATATTTATATATACTCTTACCACGAGTATATAAATATATTAAATAAATTTTTTTTTTAATTTTTTTAAAATTCGATTTATTTGGATAAAAAAATATTACGATCAAATTATTATTATTATTTAAACTTAATAATATTAATAATAATTAATTAATTAATTAATCAAATAAAAAAATTAATAATAAAATAATAAAAATACTTTGTATTTAATAATAATAAGTACTTCGTCGTACTGGGGAACCGTAAGTACACCTGCACTAAAAAAATAACCTAATCGTTGTCACACATAAAGGCACGAATATTATAATACTTATGGGTTTCAAATAAATTTTTATAATTTCTCAAATATATATATATATATATATATATAAATGGAAGAGAAAGAGATTATTGTGATAATAATAATAATAATAATAATAATAATAATAATAATAATAACACGATACGTACAAAAAAAAAAAAAAAAAAATTAACAATTAATAACATTTACATAAAACATTTGTACTCCTTAAATTAGATTTTAAATCACATTTTTTTCCTTTCCTTTTCCTTTTTCTTTTCCTTTTTTCCTTTTTTTCTATTTAAAAATAAGAGAAATATACCTAATTTTTTTTTTTAAGTTATTAAAAAATAAAATAAAAGCAATAATAATAATAATAATAATAATAGTAATATTTCTTTTTTTTTGGAATGTATCATTTTCGAAATTCTCACTAATAAAAATTAAGGGTATTATTATTTCCTTGTTCGATTGTTTGTTTTTGTGCGTACGAAAAGTGTGTGCACGTGTGTTTGTTTGTACGTGCGTGTGTACATGAATGTAAAAGTTTACATGTATTAAATATATATATATATATATTTATTTATTTATATAAAATGGACGGCATAATAATTCTCATTTTTATTTATTTATTTATATATAAATATACAAATAATTTACTAAACTAACAACTTTCCTGTCATTTAATGCCCGATTAATTTTTGTCATTAAAATCTACTCGTCATGTTTGTTTGTTTGTTTGTTTGTTTGTTTCATACATATCATTTGTCAATTAAATTTCCCCATTCTTCTTACATTATCTATCTATCTATCTATGTATGTACGTACGTAGGGGAAGAGAAGGCACGTGGGGGAGGGGGGGCATAAATATTCCATTACGTTAATGTACAAGATTCTGTCATCATCACGTTTTTAATACACGTCTCCTGCAAAAGGATTCGCTTCCCTTTTTAAATGACGAGTTTTTTCGTGTCTAAGTAAATCCGCCTTGTACCTGGCCTTGTAGGGACACCTCGAACACGGGAACGAGGGTTCTTTACCGCACTCCCATTTCAAGTGTCTCCCGAGCGAATCCTTATTCTTGTAAACCCTTTCGCAATTTTGACAGCAAAATTTATCTTGCTGAACGGCCAAATACCGATTCACGACCGAACTATTGCTACCCGAAGAATCTTTCGATGATGATTTTCGTTGTTTAGATTTCGTTTCTTGTTTTATTTTGGCCAGTTTCGGCGGAACGGATGCGGATTCGCTTATGAGATTTAACGATTCCGGATGATTTTGATAGAGCATATTATCCGTGAGCAAATACTGTAGATTAGATGACCATCTCGATTTCGTAGATCCTGAAATAAAATATTAATCACTCAATCGCACCCAATTATTTGAGCTGTAAAAAAAAAAAAAAAAAAATTTTCTTTTTTTCTTTTTCTTTTTTTTTTTTTTTTTAAATTTAATTTTATTATTTTTATTTTTTATTTCTTATTCACTTTTTCCTTCCTTCCTTCCTTCCTTCCTTAATAAAAATCTATAAGTATTAATTTATGTCAATGTTTGGTATTATAATAATAATAATAATAATAATAATAATAATAATAATAATAATGATAATAATAATAATTATAAATTAAAAAAAAAAAAAAGGATTTTTTTTTTTTTTTTTATATTTAACTACCAACAAATCTTAATAACTACCCCATCGCCATTAATAAGCCTCATATAATGATGAAGTTAGATCATTGCATATCCCATTCTGTAAGTGAAATTGAGCAAAGTGAAAGAAAATAAATGCGTATAAATTTTTAAAAAAAATATATAAAAAATAAAATATTTAAAAGAATGGTTAGATAATAGACTCCGTCCGGTTACGCCAAGCATGAAACATACTGTGAGATAAGTAAGGTGGTACCATATAGATGGACAATTTTTTTTTTTGCAAGTTTTTAATCTCAATTTTTTTTTTAAAAAAATAAGGCCTAACAAAGAAAAGAAACTTAGTGTAAAACAACAACAACAACAACAACAATAATAATAATAATAATAATAATAATAATAATAATAATAATAATAATAATAATAAACAAATTGAATATTGTATTTAATATATATATATATATATAACCCTTTTAATGTTATATAGTAGTATTAGAACCGTATATTTTTATATATATATATATATATATATAATTTCCAAAAATCCCAACAGACAGACAGACACTTGTGGTTAATCCACGATGTGTGTTTCATCCATCCATCACACATTTCCTTAATGAAATATTTTCAATTAATTAATTTCATTCATTTTATATCTTTCTATTGTTTTCCTCTCCACGATTTCTTTTTTTAAAATAAAATAATTTTTTCATCATATAAATATATATCAACGTATATATGCATGTTCCAGGCATGTACATCTGAAAAATAATAATTAAAAGTTATTAATACAATCAAGCTTAATAATATAATTTTAATATTACAATACTTACCGTTTATTAAACAATACCTATTATTATTATTATTATTATTCTTTTGTTACCATTATCGTTTTGCTTTTTAGACATTATTATACGTTGCATCGATTCATCGTAGCTTTCTTCAAAATACGATTCCCAATTTTTTTTCAATGTGGAAGGTTTACAACACTTATTAAATTTGTTTAAACAATTTTTTTTTTTTTTTTTTTTTATAGCTAAAGTAAATTGAGGAACAAGTAAGCAACTTTTCGCAACACTGTGGATACAAATTTTTGTAGTTTGTATCAAACAAATGAAGTAAACATGATTAAACCAATAATTAACATAAAAGAATTTAAAACTTTTTCGACGATTAAATTATAATTAGTTGATCGCAATCGATTAATCTTCATCATTTAAGGTACACAATTTATGAAGAAGAAGAAAGCAAAATTTTTTTTTTAAACCGTTCATTAATTAAACAACCATGATGATTCACACTTAATAAATTTAACTTTCTCGAAACCTGTACACACCATTCCGAATATGTTTTTTTTTGGGGAGGGAAAACAAAAAAAGTGTTTTAATAGATAACTGTACCTTAAATAGATTACCATAGAGAAGTTTATTTAAACACACGCACACCCGCATATAATAAACCTTTTACATTAATTTATTAATAATAAACAAAATTTTTATTAATGAACCCAGATTAATGCCAGAAAAAAAAATCGCCGTGGAGTTATCATCTCAAACGAAATTTTCTGGCTATTCAAAAAAAAAAATAAATAAATAAAAACTTTTGATTCTCACTTATTAGGATTAGGTTCGAAAAGGCTCAAATAACAACATTGTAATCTTTTAATTCATTTTTTTCTTATTTTTTCTATTTTTTTTTTTTTTTTTTTTTTTTTGTATATTTATTTTTTTTCCCATTTTTTTTTGTTCTTTAAAAAAAAAAAAAAAAAAAAAAAAA